TACAAAGTATTTCGAACCAATTCAAAGCCAAAAATTCCAGAATACTCAGAGGGAACCGATTCCCCCCCATAGGAGGAACCGATTCCCCCCTGAATGGTTTGGCTCCGAGATTTCCAGAATGCTCGGAGGGAACCGATTCCCCCCAAGGGGGTACCGATTCCCCCCTGTTCAACGGTCGAAATATTTGAATTTTACACTTAGGGAACCGATTCCCTATGATAGGGAACCGATTCCCCCCACTGTCCAAGCTGTTTTATTAAATGTTTTCACACTAAAACGGCTATAATATCTTCTCTAATTATCCCCAACGTTCAGAAGTGATTCAAGGTGTATTTAAGCAAGCTTAGAAGCCATTGATCAATAACAAGAAACATCAAGCAACTAGAATCAAGAGAGAATCAAAGAGAAAGCATCAAACCTCAAGTTTGAGCATTTCAAGCCCATTTTCATTCAATATTCATTTTTGCTTTCAAGAACACTTTTTGTGCTCAGTTGTATTCATCTTTGAGTGTTAATTTTCTTTGTTCTAGAATTGTGCAAACATCTTACCTTGTGAGGTTTTCTTGTAAGTTTGCAAATTTGTAATCTTCTCTTTGAGAAAAGAGTGTTCTCAAGAGTTGGGGTATACTCTTGAGGGAATTGTAAGGTTATCTCTTTGGCCTCAAAAGAAAGAACAAATTAGTGAATTTGTTGGAAAATCCTTAGTGTGGATAGCTAAGGTAGTGGACGTAGACTTTGTTTGAGAAAGTCGAACCACTGTAAATCGCTGTGCAATTACTTTCAATTTTCTGCAAAAGCTTCCACAAAATTTTTATTGCCAATTCACCCCCCTCTTGGCCAATTTCGTCATTCGATTAACTCAACAGATAATCTAAGGTTGTTAATGACGTGACATATGAGCTAATTTTCTTTTATTGAGGGTAAGGCTCAAATTGATTTTTTTGAAAGTTCAAGAATTTATTTTATTTTTTTTGGCTAATGATGAGTTATCCTCGTCGGCTGCCTACCAACATATCATGGCTGATCATTCCCACGTCGTAGTCTTAATCTTCAAAATCCCTAAATTTCTAAATCACAAAACACAATCCTAAATCTTAATCACCGCGTAAGTGGTCGGTTGATGATTGTTGACAAAGATGATGATCAACGACGAAATTAAAGTGATATTTTAAAGTTTTTATCAATTTTGGGTATTTCTGGAAAATAATAAAACTTTTTAATTTATGTTTTCTTCTAAATAAAATAAATTAAATGTGTTAAATACTGATTTATCGATTGATTTTTAATAAATTTTTAACTATTATGATGGAATATACACTCAAAATAATATTGTAGAAAACGTTTGAGATGTACATTAAAAGAAAAACTTTAGATATCTAAACGTAAAAAATATTATTTAAATATTATTTTATATTAATCCTTAAATATGTAAAAAATATATAATTTAAATATTATTTTATATTAATCCCTAAATATATTATGTTGAAAATATTTTTTTGATATTTCGATATAACAAATTAAGTTAAATGAATTTTAAGATTTTACAAATGATTTTACAAATTATATTCGATTCAATTAATCGAATATCAAATTATTACTCCAAGTTTTTCAAGATCAATTTTAATCCTTACTAAATGTGTAAAAATTGTGATTTGTACTTAAACTATTTTTGAAACAATTTTCACAAAGTATTTTGAACCAAAATCAAGCCTTAAATCAGTTTTTCAAAGGCATGCACCGATGCATTCTCCATGCATCGATGCATCAGGCTATTTTTCAAACATCGAATGCATTTTATGCATCGATGCATCCTTAGTGCACCGATGCACTAAGTGTCCCAACGGTCAAAATATTTGAATTTTACACGAATGCACCGATGCATCCTTGATCATGCATCGATGCATGAGACGCTCCACCTAGAAAAATTAATTGCTTTCACACTTAAACGGCTATATGATATTCACTAATCATCCCCAACGTTCAGAAGTGATTCAAGGTGTATTTAAACAAGTTCTGAAGCCCTTGATCAACTAGAAATCATAGAGAAACAAAAGAGAAAGCATCAAACACCAAGTTTGTGCAAATCAAGCCAATTTTCCTTTCAATATTCATTTTGGTTTCAAGAACACCATTTGTGCTCATTTGTAATTATCTTTGAGTGTTTTTTTCTTGTTCTAGAATTGTGCAAACATCTTACCTTGTGAGGTTTTCCTTGTAAGTTTGCAAATTTGTAATCTTCTCTTTGGGAAAAGAGTGTTCTCAAGAATTGGGGTATATTCTTGAGGGTATTGTAGGGTTATCTCTTTGGCCTCAAAAGAAATAGTAAATTAGTGAATTTGTTGGAAAATCTTTAGTGTGGATAGCTAAGGTAGTTGACGTAGACTTTGATTGAGAAAGTCGAACCACTCTAAATCGCTGTGCAAATCTTTTCAATTTTCTGCAAAAGCTTCCACCGAATTTTTAATTACCAATTCACCCCCTCTTGGCTAATTCCGTCGATCGATTAACTCAACATATTAGGATAGCCAAATGCATTAGTTTTAACTGTAGTTTAAATAAATATTACATTTCAATTTAAATTCAATCAATGAACCTTTTCTTATTTGAATTAAATAATATTTAACTATAGTTTAATTGTAGTTTAAATAAATATTACATTTCAATTTAAATTCAATCAATGAGCCTTTTTTTTAATTAAATAATATTTAAAGGAAAAAAATTCTAGAATGCATGTCATTCATTGCAATTCACCATTAATTTTATAGGGCAAAATTTAAAAATAATCATTAAACTATGTTAAAATTATATTTTTGAACATTTAACTTTTAAAAGTTACATAATAAATATTAAATTTTAATTTTGTTACAAAATGAGCACAAAATCATTAAGAAATATCTCAATTGACCCTTTAGTTATAAAAATTTAATTTTACTCTTAATTTTAATTGAAATAATTTTTAGTAGGTTCAATGAATTAAAAATAAGATAGATATAGATAAAATAAATATAATCTTTTAATTTTATTTTATAAATGTTGAATTTCTACGATATAAATTAAAAAAAAATATTTTATATGATATTATAATATTATAGATATGTGATTTTAAATTACATTTAAATTTATTAAATAAAAGTTAAATGTTTAAATCACATTATCAATAAAAATAATTTTATTATTTGATAATATAAATTTTCAAATATCAAAGATTATAATTTTTTTATTCTAAAAATACAACAATAAATAAATAGTTATAAAATGATTTTTTTTCTTAATAAAAAATTATTTTCATTGTTTGATAACTAAATTCTTTAAAATATTTTTTAATTTTTAAAATAATTTATTTTCATATATTTAAAAAATATATTTTTAATATTTTAGAATTATTACATAAAAACATTGAAAAATATTAAAAATGATGTTTTAGTTATAATTAAGAAGATAAATAAGACATTTTCATTAATTTAGTATGTTATGTCACCTCTTAATAGCATTTAACGATTGCTATTTATTTTTTTAACAAAGTTTAAAATTTAATGTCTATTTTGTAACTTTTAAAAATTTAATTCTAAATAAAATCATTTAAAAAATCTTGTGACTATTTATGAATTTTACTCTAATTTAATAAGTGGTGCATTGTAATATATGTCGTTAGTGGTATATTTTAATCAATGAATGTCACTCATTACATACTCATCCTATTTAAAGAATTTTATTTATCAATATTTTTTAAAATCAAAATCTCAATACATTTATATAATTAATAGAATATGACTTATTTATGGATCAATTTAAATTAATTAATGTAAAAGTCTATTATGAGTTTATCTTTCACTAGATTTTGTTTCATTTATAATATTAATATTTAAATTTGAATATTGTTTAAAGACTTAATACTAAAACCTGTTAAATTAATTGATAGTTGATTTATGAATAGAAAAAATGTTTATATATATTTTTTATTTATTGAGATCTACTTTTTGATTGAATTATTTTTTAAAAAATTAATTTACAACACACATTTTTTACAAATAGAGTTACTCTAATCTCAGACATCTAAAAATAACAACACTCTCGTTTACTACTATTATTTTTTCATTAATATAGGGTGCTTATAAGTGGTATTATATGTTCTAAAGACTTTCAACCATGCGAGAATGAACACTTAAATACCATGCAGTCTCTATTGTTCGAGCCTAAGACCTCTAACAATAATAATTGTTTCTTTAATCACTGAGATAAATTTGTTCGTGTTATTATCTTTTATTATTAAAATGGATGGATGAATTTTGAAACAATTAAAACTAAACGTTACTAAAAAAATGTCTAATAAATAATTTTAAGACTATAATTCTCACCTTTGATTTTTTTTAGATTATTTTATATTCATTGACAATGAATGTGACCTTAAAAAAGTGTAAACTACATAATTTGTATCTAAACTATTAATTTTGATTTATTTTAATACTTAAATTTTCAAATTTTTTAAAATTATACTCAACATTTAGTTTTTATTTCATTTTAGTACCCTGTCGTTAAAAGCTTAACGCGTTTAGTATCTAAACTATCAATTTTGGTATATTTCAGTACCTAAACTTTAAAAAAAAATCAAAACTTAAATTAAATTTTGAACATGATACTAAAATGAAACAAAAACTAGATTTTACGTATGGTTTTGATTTGTTTTTGGAAGTTTAGGTATTAAACTGATTAAAACTAATAATTTAAGTACTAAACTTGTAACTTATCCTAAAAAAGTAAAACGATTCAAACATTAAGAGGAAATAATGTATTTAGAATATAAATATTGGAATTGAAATAAAATATATATATATATAAAAACCCTTTCCTATTAAAATACTAATTGCTGGGTTAAATTTTCCATAAACAAAACAAAAATGACGTGGCGGTGGTGATAATTATCCAAAAAAAAATTACTTAGCGAATGAAACTCTATTAAACAGAGACAAGATCTTAGATCAGTGCACTAAGATTGAAGTCAACATCCACTGTCCCGCCGGCGGTCAAACTTCAACTGAATTTCACCACTAAATCAGAACAGTAAAAATGGGGTTTTCATCAGTTTTATCTCGGATCGCCATCTCCAGGAAGCTGCTTTCTTCAAACCCCACGAATCGTTCCATCTCATTGTTGTCTTCCCTTCTGTTTTCGAGCCACGTTGATAGCGACACCAAGAAGGCGGAGAACGGCAGCCTGCCGTCGTCTTCGGCGGCTTATCATGTCAGTTCAGGCGGGTATATGAGAGGCACTGTCTTCTGGGAATCCGATAGGCCCCTCACCATTGAAGAATTTCATATGCCTCGTCCCAAAGCTGGAGAAGTTCTCATAAAAACGAAGGGTACGTTTTTTTTTTGGTTTTGTGAGAAAGAAAAAAACCCAAGATTTGAAATGGGTTGGATTCCATTGGGTTATCATATCTCAGTTTTCGGTCTTTTTTATTTTTCTGGGTTTCAGCTTGTGGAGTTTGTCACTCTGATCTTCATGTTATAAAAGGCGAAATTCCTTTTTCTAGTCCTTGTGTTATTGGGCACGAGATTACTGGGGAAGTTGTTGAACATGGGCCACTCACCGACCGCAAAATCACTGAAAGGTTTTACATTCAGTCTTATTCTTTGCACTTGCTTATTGTCAAAATTGGTTTTTAATTTTGATTTTGGTTGTTCTCAGATATCCAGTTGGATCTCGAGTGGTGGGAGCTTTTATCATGCCTTGTGGTAATTGTTTCTTCTGTTCTAAGGTACAGTGCTTTGGGATGCTATGCTTGAATTTCAATTCCATTATCATTACTGCTAATTTCTTATCTTTTTTTTTTATTTCTGGGAGATAGGGCCATGATGATCTATGTGAAGATTTCTTTGCCTATAATCGAGCAAAGGGCACCCTTTATGATGGTGAAACACGGCTTTTCCTCCGCAATAGTGGTAATTTTATTATTAATTTTACTATATTATGATGGTCCTGCTCCATCCTTTTTTCTCTATGAAAGCATGACTACCAGGATGTTTGTCTATGTGCATTTCGAATGCCCTTTTAACTGTAGTGTGTGAACCATCTTAAGCATCTGTTTGCTCTTTTACTGTAACTTTATATTTATAGTGTTGGCATCATTGTTGGATAACTGAAGGTACGCTATTTGTGTAGGAAAACCTGTATACATGTATAGCATGGGAGGCCTTGCTGAATACTGCGTTGTTCCGGCGTATGGTTTGTGTGTTTTGCCGAAATCATTGCCATACACCGAATCTGCAATTTTAGGATGTGCTGTATTTACTGCTTATGGTGCCATGAGGCATGCGGCTGAGGTCTGTCCTGGGGATTCTGTTGCTGTGATTGGAATTGGAGGGGTTGGTTCAAGGTACTTAGATATTAAGCTGATTCTGAAACTAGATAATTGGTTTGAATTGTCATTTTGATAATTCTGTGTATTTGTCCTCAATGTATAATGGGTAAAAAAGGCACCTAAGAGTCCAAAAGAAAAGCATATATGATAGCATAGACGATAAAGATAGCTGCACATCATGCATGACTTTCAAGCTAACTTATATATTAGGCGGTATAGGAATAAAACCGATGTTAATGCTTTCTGTTCTTAAGATCCCAGCACAAAGCATATGATCTTAAAAATATTAATCAAACACCTGACCTGGAATACTAAGCACCAAAATATTTTAGTTTCTTGTTTCTTTACTTATCTCTTTTTTGTTATATTCATTGTTTGCACTACATTTTGGATTGGATTTAATTTATTTGTTGGTTTCAGGGTTCTTTACTGAATTGTAAGGTTTTGTCAATGAATCTACCCTGTGAATTCTTTCGGAGTTTAATAACACCTGTTGGCATGATGTTACTATCACTAATAAAAACTATGAACTAGGCCTTTCTCAACATATGCCGTTCTCTGTCATGTTGTACCACTGTACTCTGTTTATGAAAGTATCCTCAGTAAGCTCAGTGAAAACAAGGTCTTTTCTTTTTATGGTCTCGGGATTTTACTTCTTTGGTCTTCCTTTCCTCTTAATCATCATTTAATCACATGTTCTTGTTGACTACTTGACTTGTAAGAAACCAATCATGATGAATGAACATAAAAGTTCTATTACAGTAAAAAACTTACAGTTCTCGTAAGGGCATTTCCACATTTTTGTAATTGCTTGTATAAACCACCTTAAACATGTTTCGTTCATTTGTCCTCAATATCTGCAAGCCCCAACAATTGTAAGGGAGTTTACTCTCTAAAATCTGGGCTCTTAACTTTGAATCGTAATCATTTATTTTTTTCCCCAAAGAAATTATAATGGTGGGATCTATATTTTAAGCAATTGCATTTTTTGGTATTTTTTACATCAACTTTTCATTACTAACTTTGACAGATTTGCAAAAGAACTGACATAGAAATGACAAGTTTTTTGCTTCAGTTGTTTGCAGATAGCAAGGGCATTTGGTGCCTCTGAAGTTATTGCTGTGGATATTCAGAATGATAAACTGCAGAAAGCTAAGACTTTGGGGGCCACTCATACAGTAAACGCAATGGAAGAAGATGCCGTTGAACGGGTTAAAGTATGTACAGGTTTGCTTGTTCTTTGTTCTTTAGCATACAAATATTGAATCCAATTAAACTATCAATCGACTGTAAATGCAACAGAAGTAAAAGTTTTAGTTGTGACAATGTTAGATATTGAGATTTGAGACATGACTTTAGAGTTTGAAATAAAAAATAGTGAGATTAGATGATCGTTTGTCGAGTATTCTGACTATTTCGTAAGCGGTTTGAAATTATTTGAGTTCATCATTAGATCTTTATTGTTGTTTTTATTTTTTATTTTAAATACTTGAACACATTTAATGTTTGTTTTGAGTAGGAAATTACTGGAGGATCAGGTGTTGACATCGCCGTGGAAGCGTTGGGGAAACCTCAAACGTTTTTGCAGTGTATACAAAGTGTAAGAGATGGTGGAAAAGCAGTGATGATCGGGCTTGCGAAAGCCGGTGCTGTAGGTGAGGTGGACATCAATCGTCTGGTTCGTCGGAAGGTAAAAGTGATCGGTTCGTATGGAGCGAGGGCAAGGCAGGATCTGCCGAAGCTGGTTAAACTAGCCGAAACAGGAATCTTCAATCTTAGCAGTGCTGTCTCTCAAAAATACAAATTTGAAGAAGGAAATAAAGCATTCCAGGATCTTAACCAGGGAAAAATTATCAGCCGAGGTGTAGTTGAGATAAGCTAAGTTATTTTTCTTTGTATCAATAATAATAATAAACTTGGACACAACACAATGAACCCTTGGCTTGTGTTGTGTTGGTCACAAATTCTGTCATGTTTGATGTAATGTTTTATCACAAAACTTGTTTATTTTACTGTATCCAGATGATTTGAAATGTCAATTTTTATTTATCAGTTTGAGATAAGCTTGTGTATATAGGACTGTTATGTGATTTGCCAATGTAAGTCTACTTCGATCTGTTCCTGATAGGAATCAAGCTGATATGACAACTGTAATGGATGATGATGAGAGGTTGCAAATTTATTAGAAGGTTTTGATGAGCTGTAATAGTTTGTTAAAAGATGCTGAGGTGTCTCCTTTAGGGTATTATATATACTGCTCTTATCTAAAAGCTGCTGATGAGCATTGGTGTGGCTGCGCTAGTTCTGGTTCTCGGTCTGCTAGACCAGCTGCGTTAATTACTGACTGTGGGCATGGAGTCTCTCAAAAGAATGTTGATTGGGTTGTTGACTCGGGGGCAACCCACCATGTGGCTATTGATGGTGCTGACATTGCCGATGTTGAAAATTTCCCCAGATCTGGTAAAGTTCTCATCGGTAACAGTAAGGGTTTAAACGTTGCTAGTGTTGGTCACTCTGCTATAATTACTTCTTCTAAATCACTGCGTCTGAATAACCTTCTCCGTGTTCCTCAGATGTCTTAAAACTTGGTTTCGGTCTCCAAGCTCGCACAGGATAATCATGTTTACCTTGAGTTTCATCCCCGACGTTGCATTGTTCATGATGAAGTTACACATGTGGTTCTGCTTGAAGGTTATGAGAAGGCGGGTTTATATATTTTCGATTCCAGTTTTGTAAATAAAAACTTGGTTTGTGCGGAGAGCATCTTACATGTGGAACAATGATTGATGTTGAGCTGTGGCATCGTCGTTTGGGGCATCCCTCTCGCGAGTCATTAGTTAAAGTTTGTGTTGTTCCTTCTGCTAAGTCTAATGACAAGTTATGTGTCGCCTGTTAACTTGGGAAAAGTCACAATTTACCCTTTAGTGACTCTCAATCCACATACAATGATCCATTTGAATTAAGTTTCAGCGATCTATGGGGTCCTGCTCCTACTATTTCTAATGGGTACATATATTATATAGCTTTTGTTGATGCTTGCACTCACTACAAGTGGGTATACTTGTTGAAAGAGAAATCTCAAGCAAGGCTCGAGTTTCGACCTTTCACCAAACGTCTTCTTGAAGAAGGGATACACCATCAGTTCACTTGCCCTCACACGTCTCAGTAAAACGGGGTGGTTGAGCGTAAGCATCGTCATGTTATTGATACTGCCTTAACGCTTCTAACACAAGTTGAATTACCGTTTAAATTTTGGTCATATGTTGTGATTACAACTACTTATCTAATAAATCGTCTGCCCACAACAATTCTCAATCGCAGCAGCCCATTTGAGAAATTGTTTGGCAAACAACTGACATATGAGCATCTACGAGTATTCGGATGCACATGCTTCCCCGTATTCGGCTGCATCAGCGTCATAAAATGGAGTTTCGAGTGGTTCTTGTACTTTTCTTGGGTACAGTACGCAACACAAAGGGTATGTTTGCTTGGCTCCTGATGGACGAATATATGTCTCACGTCACGTTCGTTTTGATGAAGCTTCTTTTCCATTTGCAAGCAAGGAGTCACTTGTTAAAACAATTCCCAATCCAAGAAAGCTTGTTGATGCTCGTATTCCTCTCATTCGAGGCAGTGGCCAAAACTTAGGAAATGGTGATGATGCTAGTCCCACTCCGTCCCAAAATTATATGGAGCCTGATGATGTTGTGTCCTCATCAAGAACGTCCTCCAGCCATGTGGTTGCTAATGCCACTCATGAAAGCGTTACCTCAAGTATATCTCCTTCACATTCGAGTAATTTGCCTGGTTCGTGTTTGAATGCTCCTGAGGTAATTAATAACGAGCCTCCCTTAATACAAGATGCCTCTTTGGTAAACAGTCGTCCTATGGTAACGAGGAGCAAAGCAGGTGTTTTTAAGCTTCGGGTTCTTCTCACTCAGTCTCCTAGCTGTGATGATGAACCTGTCACTGTTTATGAAACTCTCTCCTCACCAACATGGCATAATGTTGTAATGAAGGAATACAATGCCTTGGTTAATAATGGCACATAGAAACTTGTTCCCTTACCTGCTGGTCGACGAGCGATTGGCTGTAAATGGTTTTTTTTAGTTAAGAAAAATGTTGATGGCTCTATCGCTCAATATAAGGCGCGGCTAGTAGCAAAAGGGTTTGCTTAGGTACCAGGGCAAGACTTTTGTGATACGTTCAGCCCTATTGTGAAGTCGGCCACCATTAATGTCGTGTTATCTCTCACTGTTACATATGGATGGAACTTACGTCAAGTTTACGTTGACAATTGCATGGCAAATTACAAGAAGACGTGTATATGGTGCAATCTCCGGGGTTTGAATGTTTTACCTTGGATGGAACCAAGTTAGTTTGTAAGCTCGAGAAAGCCCTGTATGGTCTCAAGCAGGCTCCAAGGAGCTGGTATGCCAAACTTCGATATTTCCTTCTTGAAATTGGTTTTAAAGGTACTCCAGCAGATGCATCATTGTTCTTACGTTGCATGGATGGTCGATATGCTTATATACTTATTTATATTGATGATATTATTATCACCGACCAAGATAATGAACAAGTTGAGCATGTCGTTCGAGTTTTGGGACAACAATTTGCTTTAAAAGATCTTGGAGAACTGCATCAATTTCTCGGCCTTGAAGTTCAACGTACTAATGACTCGATTACGTGGACAACGCAATTTCATTCTTGAGCTTCTTGATAGAGCAAGTATAAGAGGTTCAAATCCTGTCCCCACACCAATGGTGACATCACCGAAATTTGGTACTGATGAAGGAACACCTCTTGATGATGTTCAAACATATAAGAGTATTGTAGGCGCTCTTCTCTATCTTAGCCGCACACGACCTGATATTTCTTTTAGCGTTAATCGGTATGCCCAGTTCATGTATCATCCGTATACTCATCATTGGCCTGCCGTAAAAAGGATACTTCGATACCTAAGTGGCACTCTTGATCTCGGCCTTGTCTTTCGGGCGTCGATAAGTGAACAAAAGCTAACTGGCTTTGCTGATGCTAACTGGGCCAGTGATGCTGATAATCGTAGATCAATGTCTGGTTTTTGCATATACTTAGATAACAACTTAGTATCATGGAAGTCTCAACGCCAACGCTCTGTCTCGCAATCGACAATGGAGGCAGAATATCGAAGTGTTGTCGATACAGTTTCTGAACTTATCTGGATGAAAGCCTTGCTCGTAGATATGGGAATTTCATTATCCGAAACTCCAATTGTTTGGAGTGACAGCACGGGAGCCGTGGCTATGAGTGTCAATCCGGTTTATCATGCCCGTTCAAAGCATGTAGAGCTGGACCTTCACTTTGTTCGAGAGAAAATAGCCGTTGGTGATCTTCAAGTCCGGTACGTTCCTGCGAAGCATAAAAAAGCTGACGGTCTTACCAAACCTTTAACTCGCCCATATTTCACGATGTTCCGACAGGGAGTTAATGCCCGTATGCCTGGTGAAGCACCTGGTGAAAGCACGGTGCATGATAGGAATCAAGCTGATATGACAGCTGTAATGGATAATGATGAGAGGTTGTAAATTTGTAGCTGTAATAGTTTGTTAAAGGCTGCTGAGATGTCTCCTTTAGGGTTTTGCTCCTATCTAAAAGAAATACATGGCTTTTGGTTGAAAAGAAAAAGTTGGGAAAAGTTAAAATCTTAACAGTTCCAGCCGCCTTTAACGCTTCAATCGCTTCCAAACTATCAAGCTCTAGGACATAACAGTCCTATATACACCCCCCAAATCTTCGCTTCTAGGACAGAACATACCCCTATAAATTTGGTAAATCCCGTCTCCCATTCCCCGTCGTGGTCACAAACAACTCCTCCACATGAGGCGATCCCAATACTCTCGTGGCGACCAACACTCGAGTTCACCTTCAGCCAGCCGGAAGAGGACGCTGTCAGGTATGAACATTGTTACTTCTTCTCGTAGCTGGAATTCGTTGCCGTAGACTTGTTTCCAGCACCCTAGTAGTGGTAAACATATATTACCTTATAACTACTCCAAATTAATTAAAAAAATATTTAAAAAATCTGCACAAAATTTATTCTTCTATAAATGATCATTTTAAAAACTACTCTTTTAAAATTATTAAAATTCCTAGTATAATTTCATTTATTAACAAGCATAATTCTTAAAAAAATATGGCCAATATAACTTAGCATAAATACACAAATGTAACAAGCCTAGTTTTTGTTTAATGAAAGACCCAATCAGTGCTTGATCACACAAGATCTCGAGTGATTTTCCAACACTTCATTTACATTTATCCCAACCACGTTTAACACTATGAAGTTGTAGTTAAACCATTTGAGTAGTCCCAGTTGAAGCCTTATTGTGTGAGGTGTTGTCGGAGTACATCCCGTGTCGGGTCGAATCGTACTTCTCTCCATCACCCCATAGAGCATACGCTTCTTCCCCGTGCACTGCATCGTCTCCGATCAGCAACTGTTCCACCGTCATACGCAATGTTATGACCACATTGATAGCCCCACAAATGATAGACGTTACGATGAGGTTCCATCCGATTATGAAAGCTCCACCTACTAGTTGCTTTAGGAACTGGATCCCGCCGGAATCGCTGTAGATGGCACCCCTCGAGTTTAGGTTCGGTAAAAACATGTTACAAAGTTGAGGTTCGGCAAAGGGACCGGTGAGGGAACCGCCGAGAAGTCCTGCAATGGCATGTGTATGAAAGACTCCTAGTCAATGTGTTGAAGCAATGTCCATCGCTTGTGTACGATCATCATGGTAAACCACTAAACGCTTCCCGATAGGACTCCGAAAACTATAGCAGCCCACCCTTGTACCAGACTTATACAAAATTGAGTAAAATTCGATTCGATTAATTTAATTTAACCGATGTGTGACATTATGCAAGTTGACTTTAGAATTCAATTGAAAATACATGTATATTAAAAAACAGAGAGTTGAAAGATGGTTAATACCTGCACCAGGAGTGATGCACACAAGACCAGTGATCATGCCCTGGACGGCACCGATCACCGACGGTTTCTTGAAGAAGATGACATCAAGCCATGTCCAAACAAGGAGACTAGTAGTTGCACAAATGTTGGTAGTCAGCACTGCCATGGACGAAAAGACGTTCGCACCATACGGATCGTCACCGTTGAAACTGGCCCACCCCATCCATAACAGCCCTGCATCATTAGAACATTGTCTGGCACAAAAACTCGAGTTCTTCCAAACGACGGAATCAACAGAAGCGCTAACTTCTATAAGTTTAAAATATACTCCATATATTTACTTTTTACAACCTTTTTGACAGTGATATTAAATACTTAAATTAATAATATATTTTCCACGTTATATTTTTTACACTTTATAAATATAACTATTTAAATTTAAAATATTTAAAATAAATAATATTATCTTTTACCATTGAAATCACTCAATACATTTTATAAAATAAAATATTTAATTCAGCCGTTATCATGTACGTGAACAATTTCTAATGAATAAGAGTAATTATATTGCATTTTTAACAAATTCTAAATCTAATTATAATCACGTATTGAAAGGAGGGGAGGGGTAATTTTAGAGGAAAGATGCTCCTAGTGAATCTAGAACCCGTGGCCTAGGGAAATATAAGAGAACAAAGATAAGTAGTTTGGTCAACCGATCAAATAAGCTTATTGAATTATATCGAAATTTTAAATCGATATAGTTAAGGGTAAACTACGGTTTTAGTATCTAAACTATCAATTTTGATTTGGTATCTAAACTTTTAATTTTTTTCAAAATTATATCTAACATTTAGTTTTTATTTCATTTTAGTACCCCGTTAAAAACTTAACGCTAAGTTTTGGAAAAATTAAAAGTTTATGTACTAAAAATGACCAAAACTGATAATTTAGGTACTAAACGCTTTAAGTTTTTAACAATAAATATTAAAATGAAACAAAAACTAAATATTAGATATGATTTTAAAAAAAATAAAAAATAAGTATTAAAATGAATAAAAAATGATAATATTAAATAATAAACTAAAGGATAAATGATCCTAATGTTGTTGATCCGTTCGATTTAAGTCCCTCCGTCGTTAAATTTCATTAGCCAATTAACGAAAGTATTACACGACAATTTAAAAATAATAAAAATATTTATGTCCCCATCGCTACTTCTTCTTCGTCGTACGACCAACTCCATTTACGTTGAAAAACTCAATTTTAAGTTCAACGCCATTACAACCCATCAAATTACCCTGATATCATGTGTAGACCTACTCACGGTCATCTAGGTGTTTCTATCAAAATATCACCCTTAGACCTAATAATTATATGTCAGGCACATTCTACTATAATATTATTGATCTAATACAATTTCTGTCACGGTGACAATAAAGCATTATATAGTGTTTTCTTGGCTTGCATTAAGCTAGGGGTCGTTGCACCATGCAAAGAATTTTTTTCATGCAGAAGAAGCAGTAGGGACGTAAATTCTTTTATTATTTTTAAATTTTCATATAATACTTTCATTAATGTGTCAAAGAAATTTAATGGTAGAGGATTTAAATCGAACGGATCGATATAAACCCTTAATTTTTAAATTAATAACTAAAATCGATCGGATCAAAAATAAAAGGACTATTCATATAATTTACCCTAAACTAAATAATAAACGCGTAGTTTACCCTAGTAGTGGAGGACCATATTTTGTCGGCACCCAAATTAAACGTGCATGAATTAAAATTCACTCGCCTTTACTTAGGAAAGCAAAATCCAGTGGAATCCAGTGAGGAAGAAGGTCAAAGGGAGAGGTCTAGATCCAGAACCCCTAAAACCTCGGCGTTATGGGAGATCCCATTTCATCTTCATCTCCATACCACACTCCAAGGAATTCAAACAATATAATAATGCTGTTCACACACATGATTGAACAGGCACTGATTGGATTCAAGCTGCCCTTGTCTCTTTCCCAACCCCCAATCACACTCTCTTCATTACCTATATTGCCTCGAAATTCTCTATTTCTTTTACACTTTTGAAACTCTTTACTGAATCACACTCCTAATCTTATATATATACAGTGATCCCTCACTTGATATCATTGTAGTAGTCGTTTTTGAAGCAAAAAATGGAGAAATATGAGGTGGTCAAAGATCTGGGAGCCGGCAATTTTGGGGTTGCTCGACTCCTTAGACACAAGGAGACAAAGGAGCTTGTTGCTATGAAGTATATCGAGAGAGGTCACAAGGTTTGTTTCTCTTTTTTTCTCCATCATTTTTCCATCTTCCTTTAATCTGTATTAGCTCAGTCAAAGATTAGCTGTTTTTGTTTACAGATAGATGAGAATGTGGCGAGAGAGATTATCAATCACAGATCTCTTAGACACCCCAATATAATCCGGTTCAAGGAGGCAAGTATCATCTCTTGATTCATTTTTTTTCTTTTTTAAATTTGCCAGGCTTCTGTTTTTTTATGGCATATGAATGCTACAGGTGGTTTTGACGCCTACCCATTTAGCAATTGTGATGGAGTATGCTGCTGGTGGTGAGCTCTTTGAACGGATTTGCAGTGCTGGAAGATTCAGTGAAGATGAGGTCCTTTTTTCCTTTTTCTATTTTTGTTCTAATCTATCTATTTGGGAACAATTATTTTAGTGCTTGATTGTTGTATTTGTTGTTCTGTATATCTTCAGGCTAGATATTTCTTTCAGCAGTTGATCTCTGGTGTCAATTACTGTCACTCTATGGTAATTTATACTCGAAAGTTGAACCATGATGTTTCTCAGTGCATGCCAAATGCAAGAACTAAATCTATTTTTTTATTTCTATGTTTTGTGTTCTTGTTTGCAGCAAATATGCCATAGAGATTTGAAGTTAGAGAATACACTTTTGGATGGAAGTCCTGCACCGCGCTTGAAAATCTGCGATTTCGGTTACTCTAAGGTCTGGGAATAGTTACATTAAGTGTACCCTACTTGTGAGTTGCTTTCTGATTTTTCGATCATTAAGTTGTTTTTATAACACTTGTTGTAGTCTTCTCTGTTGCATTCGAGACCCAAATCAACAGTTGGAACTCCAGCATATATAGCACCAGAAGTTCTATCGCGACGAGAATATGATGGAAAGGTATAATAACTGAGCATTTTATTTAACAATCTAATAACGTGACTTGGAGCTGGTCTGCCACTTTTGACTTCGATGCCTAACATGTAACCGCAGAGAGATAATTTGAAGAGATGATTTGAGATCCTTTAATTTTCTGAACGCATGATAGTAAGAGATGTGATGAAAAGCATTTTGTAATGTCCTTGTTGATGAAAGTGTGTAATACCTTGAGACATTTTTGAAAGGATCAGGTTCATCCTCACATGCTTGTTATATTCAAGTACCATTTTAATTTTTTTTTCTTAATTTGAGATCCTGTTTCTTAATACAATGGCTAAAATTAGAATGGCTATTGAATAACTCTGTGCTGCTAGTTGAGCTTACATACAGTACCTCTGTTTGGAGACTGATTGATGCCCATAAATGGTAATTGTGACTTGCTTGAAGTTAAATTAACTTTGTCGTTTTGGATCTGCTCTCTATTTTAAGTTCTGCACAAGGTGGGATTGCTGGGTTGGTTATGATTAGCGGTAACTGGTAACAATTTTGTTTCATATGGATATACAGATCTGTGTGTTTGTATATCTCAGCAGTGAGATACAACTTAATTGGTATGGAAGAATTTCCATAAAATGCTTAAGCAATATTGTTTCCACTTTTATGGCGATTTCGTCGAGTTTATCAATAACATAACTTCAAATGCTCTATTACTTTGTACAATAAGGAAATTTGATTTTTGAAAATCTAATTAGTAACATATAAAAGTATTGTTGACCATAAGTCATGTCTGTATTGTACAGTTGGCAGATGTATGGTCCTGTGGAGTTACCCTTTATGTAATGCTGGTGGGATCATACCCTTTTGAAGATCAACAGGACCCTCGGAATTTTCGGAAAACAATTCAGGTAAATGCGAATCTGCATTTTCTTCGTGTCTTTTTTATTAATAGAGATATTGACATTCCTTATGATAATCTTTTTCCTCGTTAATATTTTTGGGCAGAGAATAATGGATGTTCAGTATAAAATTCCAGACTATGTTCATATATCTCAAGATTGCAGGAACCTCCTCTCTCGAATATTTGTTGCACATCCATCAAGGGTATGTATCATTTTAAGTTAATTGGTCGAACACTGCAATTGCGCCACATCCATGCTTTTGCTATATGCTAATGACTATCTAAAACCGTACAAGCATCTAGCAGACAATAAAGATAAGTTAGCAAACCTCCCATTTATATTCGTTGCTTGACGAAAACTTTTATTTCCAATGGAAGAAGAAGAGGAAGAATAGATCACCGAAGTTGTATGTTGGAATTATCACCTAAATACCGAACTTCAAAACGCTTTCCTATCGACATCTTTTGATGTATTTCGTTCTTTTAACCTTGCTCCATTCTCTTCCATGTTAAGAGCATTGTGATGCACATGCAATTTCTTGTTATAATCATTATTAGCACAGCAACCCGGCTTCAAGACAGTTGGTTTTAGGTAGAAAAGCTAATTGATATGAAGTTGATCTCCTGGTTGCTTAAAAATGGTGTTGCCTTCTATTCTTTTTATCACGTGGTAGGATCAAAATGTCTTTTTCTTCACATCTGTTGTCTTTTTATGTTGAAGGTATTTGTGATAGATGATTGCATGTTTAATGGACTTGATATTTGGAGGTTTGTTTATTGAGATTTTAGATGTTAACTCTTTGCCATTTCCTTTTTTATCAGAGGATTACACTTAAAGAAATAAAAAACCATCCTTGGTTTTTGAAGAACTTGCCAAGAGAGCTAACGGACACGGCACAAGCTGCGTATTACCAGAGCGATAACCCTACATTCTCACTTCAAAGTGTGGATGAGATCATGAAAATTGTTAAAGAGGCAAGAAGTTCACCTCCAGCATCGGTGCCGGTCAAGGGCTTCGGTTGGGGTCAAGACGAGGATGAAGAGGAAGACATCAACGACGAAGAAGAAGATGAATACGATAAGCGGGTGAAGGAAGTCCATGCGAGTGGAGAATTCCAAATCCAATAAGCAATAAAACTGTGTGTGATAATATATTCCTTGCATTTATGGACTTAAAATGTTTAATAACCAATAACTGTTGTTTCGTTGCTAAAAATATTTATGTTGTGAACTATAAGACCCCAAACATTAGCAGTAAACAATGCATGTTTTGTTTCCAGGAATAACTATGGATTGCAGGTGAAAGAGAAACGAAATCGTACTGTTATTTGAAAACATAAAATCGCGTCTTTGTAGGATTGTAGTGGTAAAATATATCTATTTTTTCTGTAGATGATATTTAAATTCAAACCTTGAAAACAAAATTTTTAAAAAGCTCTAAACATAAAACCTTAAAAGTAGATAATGACGGATTCATAAATATTTTCAGGGTGAGCGCATATATATATATATATATATATATATATATATATATATATATATATATATATATATATATATTATTAAAATTTTGATAAAGGCGGATACAACTAAAATTTAAGGTGGATACACTCTTCATTACTCTAGTAACAATGATAAATCTCATATCATATTTATAGATTTTAGTGTTCATTGATTGTTGATTGATTGTTGATACATGTTAACATTTTAGCTATCAATCTTATAAATGTTGAGAATCTTTTATAGATAATTATAGATGTAATATCAAATATTATAAATATTTATATTATTTTATGAATATTTTTAGATATATATTATTTTTAGATTATTTTAGAATATTTTTCAAGATAAATCTCGTAAATGATGATTATATATTTATATAGTGACTTTCCAATATTTATATTTTTTAATAATTAAAAGAAAAAATCTTTTATTTTAAATTAATTAATTAATTAATTTGTACAAATTACTTTTAATTTGATATTATTAATTCTTCTCCATCGTTGGCTGCAACCGCACGCCGCTAAAGATTTTGTTTTTGTATTCGTTAGATATCCAATATGATTTGACAGTATATCCTGGTGCAGTCCTTCTATCTTAGTTTGAGTTTTTTTCTTCTGCTTCCCCAGGACCCTGTAATATACTCAGAATTGGTTGAAGATGCTTTCTACAAATCAAGTTGCCTATAACGAGAAGTTCTGCTGTGAGGAGCCTAAAATAAGGTTAATAAACAGTGTGACCTATAAAAGATGTAATATGTTAAAAGCGGAGCACAAAATGTTATAAATCAGAACTGAAAAAATTATCAATCGGAGTAACATAACAGGTTGCACTAAAATGTTATACAAGGTAAGAAAATGAGTTATAATTGATAAATGTTATAGATACAATTAACATTTTAGGTTTCGCCTAAAAGGTTACCAGATTTTAAGTTGATGATGCCTTAGACATTCCTACGATAAAAAAATAAGTTATGCTGAAAATATTATATGTTATGAATATATATATATATATATATAAGAAATACGGTTGTGCCAAGAATATTATGGTTCACTAAGAAATATGTTACGATATGTAATATTAATATTTTTATTAATTATTCAAATGTATTTATAGATTTTAATCCTTTTATTCATTCAAATATATTATTTTAATTTTTGAAATGTATTTATTATTTAATGTTATGAAATATAGATTTGAGTTAGTATTTCTAAATTTTAATTCTTTGATCTAGTATGTATAAAAAATTATTTAATTTAATATATATATATATATATATATATATATTATGTTTGATATTTATAAATTTATGTAAATTATATATAAAAAAAAAATTTATAAATCTTTAAAATTATTTATTTTGATATAATTCACATTGATAAAAATATTAAAATAATTTAATTAATATATGTAAATTCTTTTAAAATGGCCCCTCATAAAATGATGTTGAGTTCCACCATTGCGTGCTATTACATATATAAATTTAAAAGTGAAGCGATTGGTATGAGGGAAACAGATAATTTAAGTTATCGATCTATATTCATACAGTAATTCTAAACATATATCAACTTATAATCATCTCGTATTATTAAAAAATGATATCTCTCAACATAAGGATCCATACTACCCCATAATCTGAAAATCCATAATCCCGATTGTTATAGGAATATTATTTAGTTGACCCGTGCAGGTTTGACTTGGAACCTTCATCACTAATGTTTAATCGGAGGAATTCAAAACGTGCAAGTTTATATATATATAATTTTCGCCGAGATAGAAAATTAAAACCGTAATTTGGCTTTTATTTGGATTTCGTGGAAACAAATGCGAGCTTGGACAATTCTTTGAGGTTGTTCAAACACTTTGATCATCAACAAATCAACTATGTCCTCCAATTTCAACTTCAAGGACATTTTATTTTAAATAAAATAAATGGTTATGTTTATTTTTAAAATATTTATAATTGAATCAAAATTTAATTTTCCTGTGTAAAAAGGAACCAAAGTTCATGTTTCATCTGCATAATGACGAGGAACCTAAATGCTGAATTTGCATGGGAATTCCGAGTAATAGTAAATTGGTATAAACCTTAGTGTTTCAAAAACAACTGAATTTTATTAATAAAAATAATGAAAAGAATCAAAATGATAAAAGAGATGCTTGTCTCTTTATCTCTATCGAACAAGACATATTACAAAATGATAAACGAGTGGTGAGTGAATCAAACAATTTGACAGACTACTTCGTTACAAAATTATGATTATATTAGCGAACAACCTTTTATTAAATAGGAGATCTGACAATAAGTGACCACCGACAAACCAATCAGAAAACAAACGTCGTGAGGATCTTTGTGAAAGCTCCAACACGACCGCATAAATATGCTAAAAACGTATGAAAAGACATAAGGAACGTGCCACAAAAATAGAGGAAAAAATGTGTCACGAGAGCAGATAAACACTTGTGGACGTTGTCTTTGAATGAGACTCCAAAAAGATAAGAACCAAATAAAAACTTTAATCATAGAAAAACCTAAAAAACTAAACCCTACATGATGAACATAGTAACGGTTTCTGAAATGGGAAAGGTCAAAGTGTTAATTCACACGCAAGGCAAAGCATTCAACATTTCACCTTCACCTTGGTGCTATAAAATCCCCATGTTTTGGTTCAATCTCAAACACACATACAAAAAATGAAGTTTAATAATTTCCCAATGCCTCGTCTCTTCCTAGTTTCTCTTCTCTTGTCATTTTCATGGCCAACTTTGGGAGACACCCACCAACAACTCGACAGCTTCCTCCAATGCCTTTCTCGGCATCCAAGCAACCCTAATTCCATCTCCACTCTCGTCTACACTCAAAACAACTCTTCGTTTTCGTCCGTCTTCGAGTTCTCCCTTCGTAATGCTCGGGTTTCGACACCCGCCACCCTCAGACCTTTAGCCATCGTCACGCCGTCCAACGTTTCCCATATCCAAGCGACCGTTAATTGCTCGAGAAGTCATGGTTTGCAGGTTCGGATACGGAGCGGCGGTCATGATTACGAGGGCCTCTCGTACGTTTCTCGAGTCCCGTTTGTGATAATCGATTTGATTAACTTACGGTCGATAGATGTCGACACGGAAAATAACACGGCGTGGATTCAAGCCGGTGCCACCATCGGTGAAGTATATTACAGAATTGCGGAGAGGACTGAAACACTTGCTTTTCCGGCCGGTATTTGTCCCACTGTGGGCGTCGGTGGTCATTTTAGCGGCGGAGGTTATGGCATGTTGATGCGCAAATACGGACTTGCTGGTGATCAAATCATCGACGCGGAGCTCGTCGATGTTAACGGAAAGGTTCTCGATAGAAACTCTATGGGGGAAGATTTCTTTTGGGCCATTCGAGGCGGCGGAGGAGCCAGTTTCGGAGTAGTCGTCGCGTGGAAAGTGAACTTAGTCCCCGTACCATCGACCGTGACCGTCTTCACGGTGAATAGAACACTGGAAGAGAATGGAACAATGCTTGTTCACAAATGGCAATCCATTGCACCAAAGATCAATGAAGATCTGTACATCAGACTATTTTTAAGAGCTGTGAATTCGAGCCGACAAGACGGAACAAGAACAATACAAGCCTCTTTCACTTCCTTGTACCTCGGTGAAACCGATGATCTTCTCCCATTGATGCAAGAAAGCTTCCCGGAGCTAGGAATAACACGACAAGATTGCATCGAAATGACTTGGATCCAAAGCATCCTCTACTTCGCCGAAATCCCACAAAGTGAACCATTAGAAATCTTGCTCAACAGGACAGCAACTGCAGGAATCTTCAAAGGGAAATCGGACTATATCACGGAACCCATACCCGAAACCGGACTAGAAGGTCTCTGGCAACGATTCTACGAAGACGAATCGGAATCGTTGGAGCTTATCTTCAGCCCCTACGGCGGCAACATGGACGATATTCCGGAAGCGGAAACGCCGTACCCTCATAGGGCAGGGAACTTATTCAACATTCATTATGTAGTGGCATGGGGAGCAGAAGATGCTGCATCATCTCGGAGGTATATAAACTTCATGAGAAGGCTACATGGATACATGAAACCCTTCGTCTCGAAATCGCCTCGGCGAGCTTACATGAACTACCGGGACCTCGACATCGGAACTAATAACGACGGCGTATACACGAGCTATAGACAAGCCAGCAGATGGGGTCTTCCGTATTTCAACAACAACTTCAACAGATTGATTCATGTGAAGAGCTTGGTTGATCCTGGAAATTTCTTTAGACATGAACAGAGTATCCCTCTCTTACGTGGCTAATTAAACAATAATATGTAAGTTTAGTATGAACTCATTGTATATTTTTTTATGTCAATTTTATACTTTCTCAAATAAATTTCGCTATTATAATATTTGATATATATATAAATCTTTTGTCTTCACGGTGTATGCGTTTTTATTATCATTATATAATTATTATAACTACAATATATTAACAAAAATTACAAAGTACAGTAATTATAATAATCATGGGTAAATTACGTATTTAGTACCTAAACTATCAGTTTTGATCTATTTTAGCACCTAAACTTTCATTTTTTAAAAACCATACCTAAAGTTTAGTTTTTGTTTCATTTTAGTATATGTCAACCGTTAAAAATTTTAGTTTTCATTTTAGTATCTCGTTTAAAATTTGACATTATGTTTTGAAAAAATTGAAAGTTTAGGTGCTGAACGTACTAAATTTTTAACAGTGGGGTACTAAAATGAAATGAAAACTAAATGTTAGGTATGATTTTAAAAAAATTGAAAGTCTAATTACTAAAATGAACCAAAAATGATAGTTTAAGTACTAAATACATAGTTTACCCAATAATATGAAAATCTTTTAAAATCTTTATATATGTTTATGGTTTGACTTTGATTTACATTATTGTAAATAAAAACAATTCAATTTGAAATCAGAATATGAATTATTTATTTATTTAGATTATATAAATATTTAGAGAAAAATTTAACCTATATTTCTTCTCAATATTTTCGTATTATCTTTTTTTCTTTGATTTTTGTTTGGTTGCGACATCGATTTGTAAAATTTGTTCTGCACAATATATTTATGGGTAAAGTATAGTAATGGTCACTGAACATTTTTGAAGCTTGCATTTAGGTTCCTCAACTATTAAAACTTGCAATATAGTCCCCAACATTTAATCCATTTGCAATATGGTCCCGCACCTATGAAAATTAGGGTAAATTATATAAATGGTCATTGAACTTTTCAGGCACTTGAATTTAGGTCCCCTAACTTTTAAAACTTACAAAAATTCCTCAATTTCATTCTAAACCCCAAATTCCAAAGTAATTCAATTTCATTATAAACCCTAAATTCCAAAATAATTCAATTACATTCTAAAACCCAAATTCTAAAATATTTCAATTTAAGGAGGAATGTACTAGATTATCTTTAAGAATGTGATAGCGTTTTGATTTTTTTGCTTTTGTGAAGAAAAAAAATAAACTCCCTCCTCGTAAATGTAAATTTAGTGACCTTCAATAATTTAAATATAAAAAATGATTATGGAAGAAATTGAATAAAAAAACACAATCTCTCAATGAAAAAATTAAGAATCAAAATCCCCAATTGACATCCTTATAATTTTTATTTATTTCAATTACAATTTAGTTTTTTAATAGTTTGATGTGATTATAAGATAGTATTTATTCAAAAAAAAATTAATTTATTAATAATGTAGATATACCCTACAAACACAATTGTTTGAATTTAAAACTTTTAAAGAAAATAACATTTTTTTACCTATGAAATCACTTAATGAGTTATAATATAATTTTGTTAAGTGTATTAGAAAATTAAAAAATAGATCGTGCTAGAACTAAAAAGAATACGTGACCATACAATAGAAAGTTTACGTACGTTACGAAAACATGGCACAAACCCTATCTCTTTTGAGTTAATTGTTATCATCAACTTAGGGTATATTATATTAAATTATTGATTTTTTTATTTTATTTTTGAAGTAGTCAACTTTAGTGTTTATTTTTTTATTGTGTTTTTTATGATTTTATTAAATAATTTTTCTATACAAAATATTCGATGTAATAAGTAAATAAATATTTAATTATCATGGTAATATTTATATTTTAGTTATAATAGAAATAATATAAAAATAAAATATATTTATACATCATTACTATAATTAACATAACTCATATATAAAATTTTGACTTTGCTATTTATGTAGTCTTAATATTTATATGAAAGATATAAAATATATTAACACGTATGATTAGATATAAAAACATACACAAATAATCACAAATATATTTATTTTTAAATAAATGAATTATTATCATATATTCTTACTATTGAAAATTTTTAATGTCTTTAAATTAATATTAAAAAATTATCATATGTTTTTAAATATAAAAAGTAAATTAATTAATAATTTAGTGAAGTTGGCGTCGTTTATAAAAAAAACTGAAATTGAAGTATTTTAGAATTTGGATTTTAGAATGTAATTTAATTATTTTGGAATTTAGGGTTTAGAATGAAATTGAATTACTTTGGAATTTGTGGTTTAGAATGAAATTGAGGATTGTTTTGTAAGTTTTAAAAGTTGGGGGACCTAAATTCAAGTACATAAAAAGTTCAATGACCATTTATATAATTTAACCTAATTTTCATAGGTGCGGGACCATATTGCAAACGAATTAAATGTTGGGGGACTGTATTGTAAGTTTTAAAAGTTTGGGGACCTAAATGCAAGCTTCAGAAATGTTCAGTGACCATTACTATACTTTACCCTATATTTATTTTAATCCTAAAATCTAAAATTCTAAACAATAAACTTTAAGTTTTAAACCCTTAAACCCTAAACTTACGACAAAATATAAATCATGAACTCTAAATCAAAATTACAAACCCTGAATAAAAATACTAACAATTAAACTCTAAATTATAAACCATGGTTAAGATCCTGGAATGCTTTATTTCCCTCTTCAAATTTGAATTTTTAAGAGGCAGCACTGCTAGGATTGAAGACTCCTGTTTCGGCTAGTTTAACCAACTTCGGCAGATCCTGCCTCGCCCAAGCTCCGTACGAACCGATCACTTTTACCTTTCGACGAACCAGACGGTTGATGTCCACCTCACCTACGGCACCGGCTCTCGTGAGTCCGATCATCACCGCTTTTCCACCATCTCGTACACTTTGTCTATACTGCAAGAACTTTTGTGGTTTCCCCAACGCTTCCACGGCAATGTCGGCACTAATTTCCTACTCAAAACAAGTAATAAACGCGTTCAAGTATTTACAATAAAAAACAAAAACAACAATAAAGATGTAATGATGAACTATAATAATTTCCAACCGCTTACGAAATAGTCAGAATACTGGATCTAATCTCACTATTTTTTATATTTCAAACTCTGAAGTCATGTTTTGAATCTCAATATCTTACATTGTCACAGCTAAAACTTCGACTGAAACTTTTACTTCTGTTGCATTTGCGGTCGATTGCTAGTTCAATTGGATTCAGTATTTGTATGCTAAAGAACAAGCAAACCTGTACATACTTTAACCCGTTCAATGGCATCTTCTTCCATCGCCTTTACCGTATGAGTGGCCCCCAAAGTCTTACCAGGAGAAATGGAGATGAAGAGGATCCTAGGTGTCCGTTTCCCAACGCATCAACGGTTCAATTTCAAACTGCAGCCCTTGCCGCCCATGATTTCTATGTAACTCCCCCCTTTACCATTAAGCTTGTCCAGTTTGTAAAATGGAGGGTAGTGGGTCCCTTAAAACGAGCTTCTTCTTCTCCCCTCTTTAAAAACTGCTTCCCCTCTCTCTTCATCTTCAACCAACACTTTCACTCTCTCTCTCCTTTCCATTTCCATTTTGATTCTTTTTTTGGGTATATTATCTATTAAACAATGGCTGACGAAGTTCAGATGAATGCTCATGCAGACCAGGTGACGGTGGTGGATGTTGCCGACGTGCCACAAGCTGAGAAATCTCCGGTGGTTGCAGCGAAAGAGCCACCGTCGGCACCTGAAAGCGACGAAGAACAGGCTTTAGAGACAAAGGCGTCGGATACGGCAACAAATGGTGATGGACATGGTGATGAAAAAGTCCCTCAGTCCGGTTCTTACAAGGAAGAAAGCACTAGGGTTGCTGACCTTGTCGACACTCAAAAGAAAGCTGTCGAACAACTTAAAGCGCTTGTCCGAGAAGCCCTCGACAAGCATGAGTTTTCTGGGTCTGTAATGCCACAGCAACAACAAGAGCAAAAGGATGAATCTGTCAAAGAAGAAGAAACGAAGGACCAATCGCCGAAGGAAGAAAACATCTGTCAGGTTGATGCCTCACCGGAAGATGACGGTGCTAAGACCGTCGAAGCCATCGGAGACACCGTCGTTTCCGTCTCTTCTTCAGTCCAATCACCGGAAGCAGCTAAAGAACCGGTAGAAGCAAGCGCCGATCCGGTTCCGGAAGAACCTAACAAAATTGTCCCACAGGAGGTATCCATATGGGGCGTACCACTTCTCGCAGACGAAAGAAGCGATGTCATCCTCTTAAAATTCCTAAGAGCCAGAGATTTCAAGGTGAAGGATGCCTTCATCATGCTCCAAAACACCATTCGTTGGCAAAAAGAGTTCGGCATCGACCAACTCGTGGAACAAGATTTGGGTGATGAACTACACAAAGTGGTGTTCATGCACGGTTTCAACAAACAAGGACATCCGGTGTGTTACAATGTGTTCGGGGAATTCCAAAACAAGGAGCTTTACCGGAAAGCATTCTCCGATGAAGACAAGAGGCAAAATTTCTTGAGATGGAGAATCCAATTCCTGGAAAAGAGTATCAGGAAACTGGATTTCAGCCCCGGTGGAATATGTACCATTGTTCAAATCAATGACCTCAAGAATTCACCGGGACTTACCAAATGGGAGCTTAGACAAGCAACTAAACAAGCCCTTCAATTGCTGCAGGACAACTACCCAGAATTTGTTGCCAGACAAGTAATCTTTTGATTTCGTCATCAGTTTATGTTCTTTTTGCCAATAATAGCGCATGCTCCTTGTCTAGGTGTTTATTAATGTACCATGGTGGTACCTTGCGGTCAATAAGATGATAAGTCCATTTTTGACACAAAGAACCAGAAGCAAGTTTGTATTTGCTGGCTCTTCTAAATCTGCAGATACCATTTTCAGGTCCGTCTCTAAAAATCAAATCTTGGATCCCCCTTTTTCTCTCTATAAACCTCGGTTTAAATAACACTATTTAATGTTTAGATACATTGCTGCCGAGCAAGTGCCAGTCAGATACGGAGGACTGAGCAAAGACGGTGAATTTGCCACCACCGACGCCGTCGTCGAGGAAACTGTTAAACCAGCGGCGAAGCACACAGTTGAGTTCCCAGTTACTGAGGTAAAGTAATGGCCTTAGCTTTCACTTTTATCGAGAGAATCCAAAGATATATTTTGACCACATCCGCCATTGGATACTCTGAAAAAATCAGTGTTTTGCAGGCGTGTTTTGTGACGTGGGAAGTGAGAGTTGTTGGATGGGATGTGAGCTACGGCGCGGAGTTCGTGCCCGGCGGTGAAGACAGCTACACCATAATAATACAGAAGAGCAAGAAGGTGGTTGGTGATTCGGTGGTGTGCGACAATTTCAAGGCCGGTGAACCTGGCAAGGTTGTTCTCACCATCCACAATCCCACCTCGAAGAAGAAGAAGCTCCTCTATCGATTCAAGATTATGCCTACATCTGATTAGAAATTTTCCAAATTTGAACAATGAAGACAAAAGACTATAAAATTTTCCATTTTGCTCGATTTTAATATTTGTTATTATTATTATTATTATTATTATTATTATTATTTGAAATATGAAGTTATTTATTTTGTTTAATTATTACTATTATTTTTATTTTTATATATAGTTTAACCGACGTGTATAATATTCTATACCTATACTGCCTTTTTCCTAGTAAGTTGCAAACCACTGTCTATGATTGAATTAATTATGTTTAAAGGTATTATAATAATTAAATTAATTATTTTTAAATTTAATATTTAAATCTTACAATTATATTTATATAAAGGGTAAAGTACATCAATAGTCCCCAATTATGAGATATTATTTTGTTGAGTCTTCCGATAAATGGTCCCCTAACTAATAGAATGTTGTTTTGTTTAATCCCTCAACTAGGGATGACAAACAAGCGGGGCATGTGTAGATACCCCATGCACATCTAATATTTTTGTATACACCACCTACCCATCACCACTATGGGTAAAAATTTTAAATCCATGTTCGCTCATGCGAGTATATTCTCAAACCCAACCCCACACCTACTACCCAACTGATCATCCACCACTCATCTCGTACTTGCTTGTACCCGTCCACTCAATTTTAAAAATGTTTATACCCTAACAGCTGGTTAAATTACAAGTCATGTCCTATAAAATCTTAATATTTACAGAATAATCTCTAAAATTATACTTAAAAATACCTAAATTCATAATGATCCAAAATTTATATGGTTGATAGTTGGTGGGCGGACGGATACGGGGTGGATAAGGTCTTAAACCCATCATCTACCCACTACCCACCGTGGGTATGACTTTTTACATCCACACTCGCCCAGTACCCACTAAGCTCATCCTCACCCCAATTGGAGCGAGTGCGGTGCAAAATCCATAAAATTGTACACGTTTGTCATCTCTACCCTCAACTATTAAAAGTTATACAATAGTCACTTGATTATTCACATATTTCAAACTCGTCATATTTTACTTAAATTTTGGCAATCGTCTGAATTGGACGTTAACCTATTGAGTGAATATGATAAAATTTGATCCTATAACCATTTGAGGCATTATGTCACGTTGTCGATATCTCATGTCATATTAGTAATTTTTTCAATAAAAATGACGAGTTCAGAACGTGGATAATAATATGACTATTTCATAACTTTTAATAGTGAGATGACTCAACAAAATATTATCATATAGTCAGAAGATATTTTGTAATATGTAATAGTCAAAATACTCAACAAAACAACATTCTATAGTCGATGGTCATTTGAGTATTTTACCCTTATTTAAACTAATATCTCTATCCAGTAAGAGTTGGTTGAAATACTATCATTTTAGTCAAATAAACTAGTGGTAATATTTTTAAGGGTAAATTTCGTGTTTAGTAACTAAACTATTATTTTGTGTCTGTTTTAGTATATAAATTTTTATTTTTTCAAAATTATATCTAACGTTTAGTTTTTATTTCATTTTAGCATCTCGTCGTTATAAACTTAACGCATTTAATACCTAAACTATCAGTTTTGGTCAATTTTAGTACCTAAACTTTCAATTTCTTCAAAACTTAACGTTAAATTTTTTAGCATGGATACTCAAATGAAACAAAAATTAAACTTTAGATTTGATTTTGAAAAAAAATTAAAAGTTTGAATAATAAAACATACCAAAACTAATAGTTTAAATAGTAAACACAGCATTTACCCTATTTTTTAATCATGATATTCCTTGTGAATTTCTTGTTTAGTTGTATAGTAAAAGGTATGCATGCATGATTGCACCATGCATGTTGGTCCATTTTTATAATTCAGTTTTGGGACTTTTTAGGCAGTAACAGAGATGAAGGCAAAAGTGAATGAAGCAGCCGCCCCCTTTTTTTTACTTTTTGAAAGAATATTTTGTTTTGGTTTACTATTTTTATTTCTCAGTAAAGCCACCACTTGTTTTGAAATAATTATTTTAGTACTCGATTTGTTGCTCGTTAAGATTTAATAAATTAATAATTCAGTGCCTTTCTTATTGTTTAATAAAATTTCAGAAAGCAAAGAGTATAGGGGAAGGTTTCAGGGTTAGAAACTTTGATATTAAATTAAGCCACATCATCAAACTATTAGTGAGAACACGGTGAAATTATAAAAAGTTAAGGTATAAAGTTTAGTTATTAAATTGAAAATTTTTAGAGTTTAACGAGTAAAATGAGAGATAGAAAAAGTTCAGCTACTAAACTTATAATTTATCCTTTAAACTAGTATGATTCATAAAACCAGCTCAACAAGTGATCCTTTTATAAGGGAAAGAGTGGGGATAAAAGGTTGTTTCACACTTTTGAATGATTCAGTATTGATTGATTTAATAAAACAGTGTTGAATGATTCAGCACAGAAGTACATTCTGAATGATTCAGAGTCATTATCAAACAGCATGTCACAATCAGAGCTAATTCATACAGAGTTTCTGAATCATTCAGTATTTGAATCATTCAGCACTTAATAATTCTGAAATAAACAAAAAAACCCTAACTCAAAGCGGAGAAATGGCAGAGCCATGTGGGGCTTTGGGTTGATTTCCTTTATCTAGCCCTATTGAGCCTATCAACGTGTTTTACCAATAAAAAATGACTAATTAAAAACTATGATAAAGTATATAAACGGTCTCTTGATACAGTATTAGCTTGTTAAGTAATTTAACTATTATATATTATGAAATGGTTCTTTAACTATAAAATATTATTTTGTTGAATCTTCAATTATAAAAATTTATAAAACGGTAACTTGACCGTATAGTTTACCCATTTTTCGTCATTGTAGCTAGGGATGACAACGGGTCGGGGTAGGGTCGATTTTTCAATTAATCCGATATGACCTGAAAATATGTATTCTCTATTCGATTTTGATTTGACTTGAAAATTATATATCATTTATTTGATCCGAAAAATATATTTTTTTTACCCGACTCTGAACCGACCCAAATTTTTAGAGTATAAACCGACCCGATAAAAAACAATGACTTAATTAAAATATAATATTTTTTAATGAAATTACATTATTATTCCCAAATCGTGTCGGATCAGAGGATTTTTATCCTCTACTCGAACCTGATCCGAGCCGAAAAATCCATCATGATCCCTTCCTATTAGATCAGGTCAGATCAAAACCGATCGGTTTTGGGTTAAATTGCCATCCTACTTGTAGCATGTTCTTGTGAACTAGCTCACTTGTCTCTAATGCTCTCTATACTTTATGGCAAGCTCATAATAAGAAGGCGTTGCTTGGAGAATAAAGAAAAGCCCAGTCCATTACCTTAAGAATAAAAGAACTAAATCCAGTGAACTGATTACTTATCAAATTCAAACCATATTAAAAGACGAAACCCATAATTTAATAGGAGAACTTTTCCAAAATTAAACTCAAATTACATAAAACAGAATGATGTCCAATCATTTTATATAGTATGCAGGGCATAAGTGTTAATGTCAAATAATTAAAATTATTTGATTATATATTGTTGAAAATATTTTGATGTTTAGATATAACAAACTAAGTGTTAATGAATTTTAAGATTTTATATTTTAAATTATATATTCGATTAAATTATTCGAATATCAAAATATTACTCCAAGTTTTTCAAATGTCAATTTTAATCCTTACTTAAGTGTAAAATTGTGTTTAAATCTTAAAATATTTTTGAAACAATTTTTACAAAGTATTTCGAGCCTTAATCGAGCTAAAAATAAGTTTTAAATAGGGAGGCACCGATACCCCTCATAGGGTGTACCGATACTCCTATGTCAATTTTGGCTTCGAGAAAAACAGAATGCCAAATGGGTACCGATACCCCTCATAGGGTACTGATACCCCTATGTCAATTTTGGTACCGAGAAAAACAGAATGCCCAATGGATACCGATACCCCCTAGAGGTATTGATACCCTTAGTCATTTAACGGTCGAAATATTTGAAATTTTACATTGTAGGTACTGATACCCATTGAAGGTGTATCGATACCCCACGCTCACAGCAACCTTTTTCAAGAGGGGTTTCACACTACAAAGGCTCTAACATCACCCAAATGATTCCCAACGGTTAGAATCAATCCAAGGTGTATATAAACAAGTTCTGAAGCCATTGATCAACATGAATTGAGAGAGAAACAAAGAGAAAGCCTTAAACATCAAGTTTGAGCAATTAAAGCCTATTTTTCATTCAATATTCGTTTTGCTTTCAAGAACACCATTTGTACTCAATTGTATTCATTATTGAGTGTTCTTTATTTGTTTTAGAATTGTACAAACATCTTGCATTGTGAGGTTTTTCTATAAGTTATTGAAATTTGTAATCTTCTCTTTGGGAGAGAGTGTTCTTAAGAATTTGGGGTATAATTCTTGAGGGAATTGTAAGGTTACTCTTTGTCCTCAAAAGAAAGAACAAATTAGTGAATTTGTTGGAAAATCCTTAGTGTAGATAGCTAAGGTAGTGGACGTAGACTTTGGTTGAGAAAGTCGAACCACTCTAAATCGCTACGCAAATATTTTCTATTTTCTGCAAAAGCTTCCACCAAAATTTTAATTGCTAATTCACCCCCTTTTGGTTATTTCGTCGATCGATTAACTCAACATATATTACCTTATGTTTATCGACATAATTACAAAATTAATATCCAACGTTTGTACAAAATGATCATTTCGTTCTTATTCTTTTATGGAGCATTTTAGCCTTAAAAAAATTCAAATTTTGGTCAATAACTCTTATTAGATGGAAATTGTTTGTTGAATAACAGTTAACATATATTACTGAGTGACATTTTTATATGTATTTAATTGATGATGTGATGCGTACCACATCATTCAAAGTGATAATGTGACATATGTCATGTCATCAATTAAACACATATAAAAATTTCACGTCAATAATATACGTTGATAGTTAATCAACAGATAGTTTCATCCAACATTGGTTATTTGACCAAAAATTAAAATATTAT